TACAATGAAGAAAAAGCTTAATCACTTTGATTACATAAAACTAAAAATCTCTTATATTACAAAACCATTGTAAGCAAATGAAAAAGATTAACGACAAGCTTGAAAAATATTTATATCTTTGTCTACATCATAGACAAAAGTTTACTATCTCTGTTACACGCATGCATGCATGCTAAGTTGCTTCAGTCATGTCTGACTCTGTGCGACCCCATAGATGGCAGCCCACCAGGCTCCTCTGTCCATGGGATTCTCTAGGCAAGAGTACTGCAATGCGTTGCCATACATAAAGGGCTTCTAAAAATAAAAAATGATTGACAACAGTATAGAAAATATACTAGATATATGAACAAATAGTTTGCACAAAAGAAATGTACATGGTTCTTAAACAAATGAAAAAATGTTCAACCTTACAGTTAATAAAGGAAATGCAAATTAAACCCAAACTTGGATATTTTTAATCCATCATGTGAGCAAAAATCTGAACATTTGACAATATACTCTCACGGGAAACAAGTATTCACATAGAGTGCTGTTTGGGGGAACGTGAAATGACATGACTATGTCTACTTTAAGGCCTAGATACAGTGACCAATCCAGTAGCAATGGACATCCCTTACTCACCTAGATTGTAGTTTCAATACTTAAATCCTTAAATACTACAATCACATTAAAAAAGAAGCAAGACTTCTTAAAAAAAAAAAAGAAAAAAAAGCAAGGTTTCTTAAAGAAATAGCTGATTCCAGGTTTGGGATAGGATTTTTATAGCCTATGTACAGAAAGCAAGAAGCTATCCAAGACTACTAGTTTCGAGTCAAAAAAAATCAGGAAGCCCATTTAAGGATCTCCCATTTGTCAAAGATGGGAAATCTCAGTATTAATAAGGGTAATGACTCCAACTTATTAAAGCATATAATTTATGTTTAAATTGCTGAGTTCATAATGATCATAAAAAATAACGTATTGGTCACTTATGGAGCATGCTGGGGAGCCATCATGTTTTGAAACTTGGAAATAAAAAGAAAAATGCAGGACTTCCCCAGTGGTCCAGTGGTTAAAACTTCGTTTTCCAATGAAGGTGATGCTGGTTCAAGATCCATGGTTAGGTAGCTGCTGCTGCTGCTAAGTCGCTTCAGTCGTGTCCGACTCTGTGCGACCCCATAGACGGCAGCCCACCAGGCTCCCCCGTCCCTGGGATTCTCCAGGCAAGAGTACTGGAGTGGGTTGCCATTTCCTTCTCCAGGTTAGGTAGCTAAGAGCCCACAATTCCTGGGGCCAAAAGAACCCCAAAACATGACAGAAGCAATACTGTAACAAATTCAATAAAGACTTAAAAAATAGTCCACACCAAAAACATAAGGAAAAAAAAAAAGACCCAAGTATTTAATCTGTCTTTCCTATATGAAATCTACCTCAGTATAATCAAAGAGTTGGTGAAGTTCTCCATTATAGAAGTAGTTCTGCTAATATGTAATGATAAAATTACAATATCACCATTTTACAACTGTTAGTGAAATAACGGGTGATTCCAATAATGGATGGATGACTTCATCAAAAAGAAAAAAACAATTATATATTGTAAGCCTTGATGGAAGTGTGAATACCTATGAGGAATTCCTGTCCAAACAATAAGCCTAAATCTGATCAAACTTCTATATTTCTAAACACCACCTTATAGGCAGTACAAGGGAGAAGAACATGTGAAAATAAAACCAAAAAAATCCATGTAGTGGCAATAAGTAAAACCCAGACTGTGAATCATCTAGTCATTCTACAGATTAAAGGACTCAGTTTATTAAAAAAAAAAAATGACAAAGAGAAACAAAAGGGAGATGAAGGGGGAACCTATAGAAAAAAGACTTAAGGATATATTAACCAATTGCAATTTGTGGACTTCAGATTCTGAGCCAAAAAACAAATTGAAGGCGGGGAGAAAATCCTTTATGAGGCATTTGAGGAAATTTGCTTTCTGATAGATAATTAGTTATTATTATTTAATAATAACAATAATAACTGTTACTATTATTTTACATACAGGCAGTGGCAGTGGTAGAAGATTAAGTGGGTGAATACGAATACAAGATTTGCCAAGACTTGATAGCTGGTAAATCTGAGTGAGAGCACATGAACATTTCTTACACTGCTCTCTCTACGCTTTTTGGTCTGAAAATTTCCACAACATAACATTAAAAAGAAATATATTTTTTAAGATGAGGAAATTCTTGTTTTTGAAAGACTCTGAGTGGACATTATTGTGGCTGAATAAAATACCTAGAATTCCGGTGAGTCATCCTGTGATTATGAGGAAAGCCGACCAAGGATAAAGCCAAAACATTCTTGATAGTAAAGCAGAATAATAGAAATAACCTGGTTCTTGACAGCTGAGCCACAGAATAAACCAACCTGGCAGCTGCCTGAACTCTGGAGAGCTGGTTAGACAGTAACTATCTCTGTTGTTTACTCAGTTTGAACTGGTTTCTGTTATTTGCAGCAGAAACCGTCCTAATCAAAAGATTGGAGAAGAATGCATTTTTGTGTGTATTTTGAGGTTGTAAAAGTGGTACTGGGTAGTATTTCTGCTCCATTTTACAGGATGTTGAGTGAAGCAGCATCCCTTCATTGCGCATAGGCCTTAGACTTACAAGTCTAATGCAGAATTGGTGTTGAGGCAAATTCAAAACAAATCCCAGGTACATTTTGTACTTCAGAATGAAATGTTGCTCTGCAATGATCAAGTCCTAGCTATTATTTCTTGGTACCTCTTAAATTCCAAAGGGATTAAATCAGCCAGTATACCACCTTCCACCTACAGTCTACCCTACTTTACCTTGAGTGAACATCTTAGCAACCACACTGTCACAGAAGGCCAGGAACTAAGTCTTCCACCCGCCGCCAGTGATGCGGTCCTTCTTGCTATCTAGCTGGAGAGTAATAAAATTCCAGAGCCCTATTCTTAGGGTCTGTTTCCTAGGACACTTGGTACAATTACCTTAGGCAACAGCTTGAAACAGCAATTTGGAGGCAGGTGATTTATTAAAGGAGCCCTCTCAGGAGAACAGGAGGGAGGCAAGCAAAATGTAACAGGAGAAAAAGCCAAGCAATGATGTCATCTCAGCTGGAAACCAGCTTCAACCTGAGCCCCTGGGGAGCTCTGAGCTGTCCCAGGGTGTCGGTCCCACCTTTTGTACCAGCTTGGTAGTCAGTCATCGCTGTGAGCCACTTGAGGTGAGGTTAGGGCGGGGTGTGTGTAATACTCACAGCGGCAGGGGGTGTATGTACCGGCCCAGTTAAAGGGATCTGGTCAGAGCATCAAGAGCATCCACTGCAACTTCCCAATTTACTTGGGTAGCCAAAACTGTACTAGATTCTGGGTGATCTAGCCCACCCCTGCATAACCATTCTTTCTCTTTGAAATCATTTTCACTACTCTCTCTTTTTTATTCCACCTTAGCCACACATTCGGAGAAGGCAATGGCACCCCACTCCAGCACTCTTGCCTGGAAAATCCCATGGACGGAGGAACCTGGTGGGCTGCAGTCCACGGGGTCGCAAAGAGTCGGACACGACTGAGCGACTTCACCTTCACTTTTCATTTTCATGCATTGGAGAAGGAAAGGGCAACCCACTCCAGTGTTCTTGCCTGGAGAATGCCAGGGACGGGGGGGCCTGGTGGGCTGCCGTCTATGGGGTCGCACAGAGTCGGGCACGACTGAAGCGACTTAGCAGCAACCACACATTGGCCACCTTGCAATTCCTCAAATTCTTTAACACATTCATGCTTCAGATCCTTTTAGTCTTCTCATCTGGAATATTTTTCTGCTGCTCTCTACCCTCCCATACCCTCAAGACAAGGTCCCTTCTACATCCTTCAGGTTTTTACTCACAAGACAGCTTCTCAGTAAGGTTTTCTCTGGCTGCACTCCCACCCCTAAACCAACACATAGGATTCCTTTACTTTCATTACTTTTTTCCAAATACTTATCAGTATCTAACAGACTATATTTATCTTGTTTATTGTTTATATCTGTTTAGAGTTTTCTTATTTATCTTGCTTACTATTTATTATCTGTTGACCTGGGTTTGATCCCCGGGCTGGGAAGACCCTCTGGAGGAGGGCATGGCAACCCACTCCAGTATTTTTGCCTGGAGAATCCCCACGGACAGAGGAGCCGGAACATGACTGAGCGACTAAGCATAGCACAGAGCATTTGTTAACATATGTGTCCTAGGACATGAGCTGGGAAGGGCAGGAATTTTTGCTTTTTTTTTCATCTCAGCACTTAAACAGTGCCTGGTAAGTTATACGTCCTCAGTTAATACTTGCTGAATATGGGAATGAATGAATGATCCCTAGCATGAAGTGTAAGTCCTCAATAAACACTGCTCAAAGAGAACTAAACTAACATGGAAAATATCGGCACAGCCCCCATGTAACATAGATGGGAGGAATGTTACACATGTTGCCATACACAGAGTTTTCAGTAGATTATGTTTTCTTTGATAACAGTGCAATGTTCATGTGATGTTATATGTGTGCATGTTAATATATACTATTCATACATATAAATGTGAGTGAATAATAATAGAAGCACTAACGATTTTCCAAATTTATTTAAGAGTTCAAATTAAAACTCAAGAACCTAGATTTACATACATTAAAGAAAAGCAGAGTTATAGCAAAACTAATGTGAATGAAGGTTGTAAAGATAGCTCAATCTCTGTCACATAAAATTTAAATTCACAGATGAAACTCTTTAAGCTCCTTACTGCCATGTCATACTCTGATCCCAGACAGCAGAAAACTATTCAGACATGTAAAATCTCAAATCTCTCCATTCTGAAATCGATCGGTAGATAACAAAAACAAAAATCCTCAAGGCACAACACCATCTTCCAGAAAAGAAGCCTTTGTTGTTGTTGTTGTTGTTTAAATCTAAGGTTACTAAAACTACAAAGACACCTTCTACGGCATTTTTTTTGCTGAGGTGCCAATCAGCCTGGGATCAGCCTCGGGCTGAGGCGGCCTCAGAACTAGCACAGGCTTCTTCCTGTAAATCCTCCCCGGCAGAGGATTCTGACTCAACTGGAGAATTTTCTTCCAGTTCAGCACGTTCACCAGAGCTTTCGTTCTCTGTTGTACCTTCATCACGATCCAGGGCAGCAGCTTCCCCGGGAGCTGTGCTCGGGACCCCTGAGGTCGTTTCCTCGGTGGTCTCCCCTGTCGCCGCGCCTGTCGCCTCTGGCCGAGACTCAGCACCGACCACCTGGGTCTCCGCAGGAGCAGCCTCGGCGTCATCTGGACAGGGGGGAGCCTCTTCTACGACCACAGCTGGAGCATCGGGAATATCTTCAGTAACCACCGGAGAAGCTTCCGCTGAAGATACTTCAGGGGCTTCTAAACTGGCTTCCTCGGCAGCCACAAGGTTCTCTTTCTCACCTTTAAAATTTAGTCCATTAAAAAAAAGTGTTAAAGAGCATGGGAATACAGTGGACATTCTACAGTCATCTTAAAAGCTGAGTCAGGGATTCCCTGGTAGCCCAATGCTTAGGACTCTGTACTTCCACTGCCAAGGGTGTGGGTTCCATCCCTGGTCAGGGAAATAAGGTACCACATGTTCTGCCTTGCCGCCAAAAAATTTTTTTTAATATATAAAAATTAAAAACTGAGACAAATCAATAAGTACTGATATGAAATGGTCTTCAAGGTAGTCTGTTACGTGGAAAAGAGCAGTGTACAGGTATAGTACTATTTGTATTAGGACAAAAGGAGAGTAAGATAAAACCTAAATAGTTATATTTGTAAAGACTCTCCAGGGGGACACAAAGAAACTGGTGTTACTGGTTGCCTCTGGAGAGGAAAAATGGGGGATCTGCTATTTTGCAAACCCTTTGGAAACTCTTGAACTTTAATAATAATTTACATGTATTATTTATTCAAATACAGGTCATGAAAATAAACAGGCCATGTGTCATGGGAAATAGCATGGGAAAATAACCAACTAACTGATGACTTTGAAGAGTTACTAATTCTCCCTCAACCTCAGTTTTGTCTCCTGTAAAATGGGGATATTAATAATATCTACCTAACAAAGCTATTGGGAGGATTAACTAAAATAATATATATGAAAAGGGTTAAAACCAAGGAAATGTTATGGAAATGCTGTATTTTAGTATTATTACAGACAATCATCTCATGATTATATTCATTATGTTTATTAATGATATTCTCTTATTGTTCTCATGACAAAAAGGTTAAAACTGGTCCATGAGAAGCTATTTCCCTTGTCCCTTAATAGCGATCATAGTATTTGATAATAATGATGTTATAGCTGAAATGGAAGAAAGTATGGTATAAAGCAAGCACTTTAAGGCAAAAAGTATACATTAGGATGAAAATATGAAGTTTCTCTTCTTACTAATTGCCATTTTATCAATCTGAACTGAGGGACTCAGTAGAGATAACTGACTCTAATGTCACTGCACGCAGATGTTCTTAGCCAAAATCGAAACAAAATGAGTTTCGTGACAAAAAAATAATGAGAGAAATGAAAGGTCAAGTTCATGCCTGCATGAATGGAAGCCTGAGTAGGGGAAGAGTAATGTCATCACAGAAAGAAGTCAAAGATGCTGGTCAGCAGTTTAAATGTATAATGTTTTCATTTACCAAGTGCACTCATCCAAAATGTCTTTAGACTTTGGTTGGACTTTTCCTTTTTTTTTTTTTTTTGGACTTTTCCTTTTTGAACAAACTCCTACCCACGCCATTCGGGACTAAGTAAAGAAGACAAAATCAAATAGTGTTCATTGCTAGAATACGATGATGAAAATCAGTGCCTCAAGGAAAAAGAAAATAGTGAATTCACTTTACCTTGAGGTGGATGTAACTCCGCTTTGGTTTTTTCTTTCAAATCTGTTACATGATCGCTGCGTTTGGCCTTCCCTGATGTGACTCTCTTGTAAGTCTGAAAGTGAATGTGTGCTTAAATTTATTTCTTGAGCAAGAAGGTTCACCATGCCAAGTTTAAAGGTGTTTACAGTTCAAACAGGAAAAAGCAATACACACCATCTATTCTTTTCTTTTCCCTTTGGAAATCTTTGTCATTAAGTAGAATGCTTTCTAAAAATAAAGAGGGATTTCCTTGGTTGTCAACTGGTTAAGGCTGCACCCTTCCAATGCAGGGGCTGTACGTTCTATCCCTGCTGGGGGAGCGAAGAATCCACATGCCTCACAGCCAAATTAAATTTAAAAAAGAAAAGAAGGAAATGCTCTGAGAGAGGTCAAAGATAACTGAAAACACACAAAGTAGATAAGACAAAGAAGAAAATAATAAATTATGCTAGAGTAAAAATATTCTGATAAGCATTAAAAAATATCGCCTGGCATTCATCTCAGAGAAGCAGAAATTTATGTGCACTCAAAAACCGGAACACACACGTTCATGGTAGCTTTAATCGTAATAGCCAAAAAATTGGAAGCAGTCCAGAAGTCCTACATAGGCTGGTTGGTTACACAGGCTGTGGTGCGCCCATGACATGGGATACTGCTCTGCCATAAAGGGGGTGAACTATAGATAAAAGGAGTGAATTTGCAGGTACAGGAAACCATTTGGATGAATCTCCAGGTAAATCATGCTGAGTGAAAAAAACCAGTCTCAAAAGGTTACATACCTTCAGATTCCATCTACTTAATATTATTTGAGGGGTGGGTAACATTTTTGAAATGACAAGAAATATAGAAATAGAGGATAGATTAGTGGTTGCCAGGAAGTAAAAGGAAGGGAGAAGAGAGCAGGAGGGAAGGAAGCACAATTACAAGAGACAACACTGGGGATCCTTGTGATGACAGAATAGTTTTGTCTCTTGACTGTGATGGTAAACACACATGATAAAATTGCTTAGGACTAAATACATGCAGTTAAGTGTTCACACACACATACACAAACACATGCACAAGTGCATGTAAAGCTGGTGGAATCTGATAAGGTCTACAGATCATATCAATGTCAGTCTCCTAGCTGTGATATTGTATTAAAGTTAGGAGAGATGTTGGCACAGGGGAAATGAGGTGAAAGGAATATAAGCTGTCTTGGTATTAGTTATTATAACCGCATATGAAACTCAATTCAATTCTCTCACAATAAGAAGTTTTCAAAAAATCTTCCAAAATGACAGCTTTGTAGACCCCAGTGAAGATTTCTAGGGTTAGTCATTAAAAGCAGAAATATGACCTGCCATAGGTTACTTGCAAAACAGAATTGGGAATAAAGCTATCTGAACCTTAGATACAATGTACTGGTGTCTTTTTATTCCCAATTCAAGCAGTAATCTCTGGCCTGTATTCATATTAGACAATAATATTTTAAAAATGAAAATCTCACTAGTTAGACAATATTATTTGTATTATCTCAGCTTAAAAAATGTTAGTAGAGATTTCTCTCTTAGTGGTAGGATGATAAATTTTAAAAATTGTATATTTATATGTGGGGCTTCCCAGGTGGCTCAGTGGTAAAGAATCCGCCTGCAGTGCAGGAGACATGGGTTTGATTCCTGGGTTGGGACGATTCCCTGGAAAAGGAAATGGAACCCATTTCAGTATTCTTGCCTGGAAAATCCCATGAACGGGGTAGCCTGGTGGGTTGCAAAAGAGTCTGAGCAATTAAACAACAAAAACAAATTTATATGTAGCATTTCCTAAATTTCTAATAATCATAAATCATTAATCTCATTAAAAGTTTTCTTATGCAAATTACAAACTATTTCTTGGCATGTTCAAATTAGACTATGAAAATGAAAACTGTATAAGCTCATGGTGAAAATGATGCAAAAGTGGCCCCTGAGAAACCCTCAGGGTTTGGTGAGTTCTGACATGAACCATCGGGCTTTGAAATACACAGAGCAAAAAGGATCAGCAGGAAAGAGAGTCAACACTTTTGTATAAAAGCAAGGAATATTTTCCCAGTGGGGTGGGAGATCCCGACGGCTTACAGGACTAGTATGCTGAGTCACTTCTCAGTACGGTAAAGCTGAACCTGTGCCCAAGTTCACGGCCCTGAAATGGCTATTCCAGCAACAACATCCCAAGGACATTAGTCTTATTGTTCAAGGGGCTAAAACACAATTGAGCTGTTAAAGCAGAATCAAAGAGATATAAGAGTAACTCACACTGATGTGTAACCTAGAGGATCTAGCTTTGTAAAATCTAACATAATCAAGCAAAGTAGAAGAAAGATCGATTAAAAGAGAGGGTCTCAGAGTTAGACTTTGGAAATAATTTCCAAATGACATTATACATTTATTAAATGTGAGCATTTAAAATCTACCACAGCTTTTAAAACCCAGTCTGGCATTTTGTTTTTCAAGATACCCAGACCTTGGACTTCCCTGGTGGTCCAGTGGTTAAAATGCTGCGTTTCCAATGCAGGGAGTGCAGATTCAATCTCTGGTTGAGGAACTAAGATTCCATATGCTGCTTGGGTGGCCAGAAGTAAATAATTTTTTAAAAATATAGCTGGACTCTCAAAAAATTGAAGTGACCTGGGCCTTTCTCAGATTTTAAGAGGCTCTCGTAGTAGAAGATTTTACTTGGAAATGAAAAAGTGTTCTTGGCTACAGAACATCTGTAGATTCAGTTTGGATTAAATCTAATATAGAATTTATTATTCTATATTAGAATAATATAGAATAATATTATTCTAGTATAATAGAATAATATTATAAGAATACAGGTTTTTGGAGTGCCTCACATTCTGTATTTCCTCTGGAAAGTAGCCTAAGACTCTTGGGAATTAAGGCTTCCAGCATTCAAAATTAAAACTATATAATCTTAGAGGTGGAAAGGGACCTAGAGATCATCACCTTGCCCAATTTCCACTCCCACTGTCAGAAAACAAGCTCAGAAAGAGCTCTCACGAGTAGCCAGTTTCTAACCGTCCAGTTTACTCCTGCTTTTGCAAAGAAAAATTTAGCGGCCTGGAGAGGTTCATGTGTGGCACTAGTAAGCATAATTAGGGATGTGGTGAGGTCCAGATGAAATTCAGTCTTCCAGCTTCCCACATAATCACATGACCTAGTTTAATCTGTTTTATCCAGTGGCCTATATCTGACTAGAGTAGCCCTGGGCAGTGAATTCAATATTAAGCAGTGGGAAGATGGTAAAAGCAAAGAAATCTAGGTAAGAGTGAAAGCCGATTAGAGGAGGACAATAATAAAAATGACATCTTTGAACTTTACTAGATTCTTGAGGCTTTCAAATTCCTGAAGATTAAAATATGCGTTTTGGTTTCATTGTCTTCATAGCCCTACAAACTGCTCATAATTAAGACTAAAAATCCCTTTTATGTATATTTCTGTAGTGTCAAACCAAAATGTAGTGATTGTGTAGTCTTATGGTTTCTGAAGAATAACACTTATTCTACTCTTATTCATAATAAAGATATCAATTTAGAAAGAAAATGAGGGATGATGCAATTTAATAGAATTATTATTATTATTTTAGCCACACCACACAGTTTTTGGGATCTTAGTTCCCTGACCAAGGATTGAACTGTGCCCACAACTCCCAAAGTGCCGAGTCCTAACCACTGGACTGCCAGGGAATTCCCTGTTTCAGCTTTTTTTTTTTTTTTTTAGCTTCAAAATCATACTATTATAGGGAATACATGTAAATCCATGGCTGATTCATGTCAGTGTATGACAAAAACCACTACAATATTGTAAAGTAATTAGCCTCCAACTAATAAAAATAAATGAAAAAAAAAATAAAAGCACTGTTTTATAGTGATTACGTGCAGGGAGTGAATAAGGGAAACATTCTTTTGATGTTATATATGTGGGTATTTGAATTTTTAAAAAAAATATGGACAAATATTACTTTTTAACAAAAAAATATAAAGCTAATAAAAACTATGGAGACAATAAAAGGACGGTGGGGAAAGAAGGAAGAAGGACTGCTTGGAGCACAGAGGATTTTTAGGGCAGTGAGACAGTATGCTACTGAAATGGCGAATGTGCGTGTGCATGTGTGCATGCTAAGTTGCTTCAGGCGTGTCCGACTCTTTGCGACACTGTGCTCTGTAGCCCACCAGGCTCCTCTGTCCATGGGGATTCTCCAGGCAAGAATACTGGAGTCGGTTGCCATGTTCTGCTCCAGGGTATCTTCCCGACCCAGGGATGGAGTCTGCCTCTCCTGAGACTTCTGCATTGCAAGCGGATTCTTTACCGCTGAGCCACCAGGGAAGGCATTATGGTGAATACATGTCATTATATCTTTGTCAAAATCCATATAATGTACAACACTAAGAGTGTACTCTCATGTAAATTGCAGACTTTAGTTAATAACAATGTATCAGTATTGACTCATCAGTTGTAAGAAACTGTAGCTCACTAAAGGGAGGTTGTTGATAAGGAAAAGGGGATCAGAAGGGTAAGGGGGGAATTCTCTGCACTTCCTGCTTATTTTTCTGTAAACCTAAAACTCATCTTTAAGGTAAAGTCTATTAATTTTTTAAAAAGTTTCTCTCTCGAAACAGTTCTTGTTGAATGTCATTAATAGTACTTACCTTAAAGAATTGTTGTAATTATTAAATGAATCATGAGTCTGAAATATGGTCTCAAATGTCAGCTATTAGTACTACTAGTATTTATAATAACATTGTTTTTTTTTACTGGAAGTGATTCATACTTAGTGGTATTAAGCATTTTATACTTAAATTCTTTTTTCATAATCTTGTATATTCAATCACTCCTAGGTCCCGATCTTGACATTGCTTTGAGTTTTACCACATGTTGTAAAATATATGGATTCCTGAACACCAAGGTTATTTAATCACTTACATAATATCCACCAGCACTGACTGTGACACCTACAACCAGATAATAGATCATATTTGATCCAGATGATCCAGGGAATTTGTTAGATGATATCCAGCGAAGAGACGCTAAGAAAACAAGTTTAAACACAGTTAGCTCCACCATGGGCAAAACTATTTTAAGTGATTACATAAAAAAATTTTTTTCCCCTCAGTGAGCATGGACTATATTAACTTCAACTGATTTTAGCTTAAAGGAATACAGTATTACAAGGTAGGGCAGTAATTCCACTTGACATTTTTCTCAATCTGATTTGATAATTACTTATGAAACCGGTCATATTGATGCTCAGCATCATGCTTTTCTTAGGAGGAATGCAGGCGTGAGTAAGGAGAAATGATAAAAGCACTAAACAATTTTAACAGTCAAAGGAAATACAGGTTAGCAAAAGAAATCCATTTATTAAATATACCAAACTAAAAAAAAAATTATATATACCACACCACAGCATTCAATGGAAAAGTTTATTTTTTTAAATGAATTAAATAATTTGTGCTTAAAATTTATGTGTTAAATAAAAACTTATGTTGAAATCCTACATGTTTCTATAAATCTATAACACAAATGTAGGCATAGAAAGAAACTTTAATTCTTCTAATATAAAACCTTTAAAGATGGGCAGATATAAACGTTTCAAAGACAAATGTTGCCAATAAGTTCATATCTAAAACAGAAGGGCAATTTTGTACAAATTAATAGAAATAGATAAGGTACTATACTACTCTACTTAAATATATTAACTGTGTAGTGCTAGAATTTGTATATACCATATGCTGTGGAATTGAAATTTTTTATAATAAACTCAAAGCTAGAAGAAGCTGAAAGCCAAAATTCTCTATTTTAAAGATAAAAAAAAGATAAAAAAGTAGATACCTTTATTACTCATTTGACAAACACAGTTGGACAGTTATGTGTTTGGCATTTTTAGAAGCATTCAGACTATAACTGAAGGGACCTCTCTGGCAGTACAGTGGTTAAGACTCTGCACTTGCAATGCACGAAGTGTGGGTTCAATCCCTGGTTGGGGAACTAGGATCCCACATGCCTTGAGGCACAGCCAAAAATAAATTAATTAATTAAATAATCTTAACAAAAATATGATTGTAAGCACAACACACAAGGTCCCTAGCATAAAAAAACAAGGAAAAGATGTAGAGACAAGTAATTGTAGGCAAATAACTGCAATGCAGTATGGCAAATGATGTAATGGATGAAATATGAAAGCCGAAGCAACAACAGCATGAAAACCCAGTGAAAGAACTCAGCTAGCCGGCTCAATGTAACTGTCACAGTTGAAGAGACATGACCTAGCTTTGAGGGAAAGGAGGAGTTTGTCAGATAAATAAGGGGAGGGAAAATGGCGCTGCAGGAAGAAGGCAGAGCATGTGCAAAAGCATGAGACCTGTGTGATGAGGAAAATGCAGTATTTTGATGTGACCTGGCACAGAGAATAAGGGTGTAGGGACCAGGAAGAAGCTCTGATTTGCAGAAAGCAAATCTTAGGACATCTTCGCAAACTACAAATCTCTGTAGTAGCAAAACTGGAAAGATTTTGTATATATGTTCTTAGTTTGGATATAAATGAACATTGCTCAGAAAAAAAACATTTTTTTTTCACAAATGTGCCCGGAGAGGCTATGGTAAGAAGTTAGGTCTTTGACTTCTAGTGGAGCTTTTGTTGGTTTACAAATACATCTGTTATTAAATAGGGAATATGTAGCTTTCATAGTCAGCAACCAGGCATAAGTAACATAAAGGTTTTTTTAATAGGAAGAAATAGAGAAAATTACGAACATTTAAGTACATACAAATACAAATACAATTATGACAAAGATATTCAAATGAACAGTAAAATGGGAAATAAATATTCAGTAAGGATTAGATAATTTTTAGCATATTCTTAATGTGAAACATAAATATTTTAATTTTTGCAGAAGACTATATGAGAAAATATTTACAATATATTAAGTGAAAAGTTACAGCAAAGTAATCTTTATATGACTATCCCAGATTTGTGGAAGCAATGTACAAAAGAAAAAAAAATGCAGTGAGAAAAAAAGGTGTGGAACACTGTGTATACTAAAATACAAATAAATAGTGGTATTCACTAAGTGATAGGATTTATCAGCGACTTCTATTTTGCCTTTCTGAGTTTTTCCAGTGATTTACTATAAACCTAATTTATTTACTCATTAAAATTTTACATTTTTAAAAGCAAAAACCAGAGAACAAAATTTGATGAGGCACAGTAAAAATTTTATCCTTCAATAAACTGAATCAATTACATTTTTCATCAAAGTTGAAAGAACCAATAAAAGGTTAATGCTCACGACCAAAGCCAAATTTTCAGTCAATAACAGTTCTGAAAATACTTAAATCAAAAAATTAGGTGAAAATGAGAAAAAGTACTGGTCTTTTTTTGTAGTACTGCTACAACCAATATTGCTAACCTATTTAGAATTTTAAAGCTGCTTTTCTTTTGCCCCAAATAATTATTTGAAATATGTGTAGCTACCAAAAAAAAAAAAAAAAAGACATATATGCTTGCCCGTGTGGCCGGTGGGGGCTGCGGTGAGATAATGCGAAAGGCCACGATCAGGGGGCTCATCTGTCTCCCCCCAGCCCCCATCACAACAGCCCCGTTATCTTCAGAAATTTCAAATGAATGATTTCCTCTTATTTCACCAGCGAAAAACCTGCTCTATCTTATTCGGCATAAAGATCAAGGAAAACGAAGTCTTATTTCTGTTAATGGAGGCAATTTCTTCCCAGGAGCATTTTAAGAGGAAAAATAATGCTAGTTAGGCAGACCTTGCTTCCCTCCCACTATCACTAATCACCACCACAGGCTTAATCAAAGTGGGGGGGGGGCGGTGAGGAAATGGGCCATGGAATTTTCCGCCGGAGTCTTTCTCTTTCCCCCCTCCCCGACTCCAACGCACGAACTATGCTAAAAGCCTTAGGAGAGAGGCAAAGTGAAGGGAGAACTAAGAATTTTCCACGAGGTTGTCTAAGAGCCGGCGCCCCAATCACGGACAGAAAAGACAGGGGAGATGGATGGGGACTAGGAATGAGCCGGCCGGGTCAGAAGTTCTCCGGGAGCGCGGACCTGGGCCCAGGGTCGCCGGCTGCTCGCGGAAGATGCTCGCAGTGCTCACACTTAAGCATCTGCGATGTCCCGGGCCCTATGCTAGGCGCTTTCGTACGTGTCAATTTTTATTTAATAAGCTTCCAACTCGCACTGCCACTTCTCTTCTAGGAAATATGTCCCTTTCCCCTTGTTTTAGAAAATCTCCGGGTGTCAGATCCAGGGGCGACGCTGTCGAACAGCTGCTAAGCTCCAGTTTTCTCTGCAGCTCCCAAGGAAGGTGCGACGAAGCCGCTTCCTCGGCGGGGATGCCACGGCCCGCGCGGGCCGAGTCCTGGCCAAGTCTGGAGTTTATTTCTCAAGAGCAGTTACCCAATTTCTACTGGACCGACACTGCCTCCCGCAACCCGCCTGGCCCGCAGATCTGTGACCATCTGCCCACCAGTACCTCTGCTTCCTCGTAAAGATGGAGAACGCCTTGGTCCCTATGTCAATACCAGTGGAAAGCTAATGCCTACGTTAGCCAGGCAGTTTTCCAAGCGCTTTTAACTACATAATAATTCATTAAAACTCACAACAAGTGTTGTCCATTTACCAGTTGAGGAAAATGAAGTTAAATCACTTGCCCAAGATCAAGATTCGAACTCAGGAAATCTAGTCCGGATTCAGAAGCCCGCGCTGGAAAGGTTCCCTACTTCCAAGATCTCCAAGAATTTCGGGGAGATTTCCCGGCCATTCTCCCCCATCTCTCCCCCATCAACCTCAGGCTTCTGCTGCCCGGGGATGGATCTGACCCACCAAGGGCAGACCGGTACTGGGGCGCCCGCGCAATCTGTGAGCGGGTCACCTGTCCTCGGGCTTGGACGCCGGGAGAGGATCCCCGGTCTGCACCTGGGACTCACCGTCTTTCCGGAGCGGCGCGGGGCCTGGGGGCGCCCTCAGTGGGAGCGCCAGGGTCTTGGAGACCGCCCGGCGGAGGTACATCGCGCCAGCAGCTAGCAGCGAAGCAGCCTCTCTAGCCCAGAGCCGACTGCGGGGTTGCGAGCCCCGCCCCGGGGAGGGGCACCGACCCCTGCCCGCCCCGCCCGGGCGGTCTCTGGGGACGTGCAAAGCGGTTGGTCTTCTGCACCATCCTCCCACAACCCAATCTCCAGATTCTGTTGCTTTCTCCTGGGCCTGAGAACTCAGCTGACGTCGGCCTCTCAGAATAAGGATAGGGAACTGTGAAGTGGCCGTCATCTGCCTGTCCACTGCCCACTGCCTTATCTTCCACTCGGAGTGGACTGGAAATGTTTCGGACCTCGCATCTGGAATAAGACAGACATGATTGATCATGCCACATGAAATCGGAACCCACTTTATCTCATATACTCCACTAGCTTTCCTAGGAGTGGAAAGGGTAGCTGCAAGCTCCCAGGAGACGAATCAAAGAAAGAGACAGCCTCAGCATTCCACTGGTACTCTAGGTAATGTTCAGAATCCTAAGAAAATTCCCAGGTAATGGCTGAATCTCTAGGCAATTCATTATTACAATGACTTTTAAATATAATCTCCAAAAGTGCTGCATATTCCTCTACGGGATGTGAAACTGCTGCTGCTGCTGCTGCTAAGTCGCTTCAGTCGTGTCCGACTCTGTGCGACCCCATAGACGGCAGCCCACCAGGCTCCTCAGTCCACCGGATTCTCCAGGCAAAATTACTGGAGTGGGTTGCCATTTCCTTCTCTGGGATGTGAAACTAGTATTTCCAAATCAATTAAAAACACTAATTAGACTTTTCCTCCAATTCAATTACTTTCCTCATGTCTTCAAGAATCTGTCATAGTTTGAATATGGAAACTAGTAATTTATGCTTATAACATTTCTTAAATGATTGATCTTTGGGACTTCCCTGAAATGATCAACCTTTGAAAGGGACCATTTCCTACTGTAATAACCCCTTATGCACGTTTGGCATTTGACAGTTTACAAAGCACTTTCACATAATTTTCTCCTTTAATTTTCATTTCACCCCTCTGAGGAAGGTGGCAATTATTCCATTTAGCAAAAAAACAGGTGGTGACCTTTTTTTTTAAGGACATGAACATGGTCCTTCTAGTTCCAAGTTCTCTTGGTATATTACAGGCAAAATATTTGCTCATTTACTTTGCAAATAACTAAACATTCCTCAGAGGTTCTAGTTTTAACCCAATTCTAATGATATTTAATATACTCTCATTTAACGACTACAAGCCAATGATCAGAACTGGTTTTTTTATTTTTTGATGCTCAGAATAATGAGTTATTCCTATTGACTAAATTTCAAGAACAATTAGGTAAGCTGTTAATGAGAGGCCTAATTTAGACTTGCAAGCCTGGAAGATGGGGCTAGACCCAGACCTTTCACCAAGAAGTTAGGTAGTCCTGAAATATAACAAAATGCAGATTAGTACACTTGCTACCTTTGGCCAGCATCAAGCACACATCCTAGAATGAACTGCCAGCAGATACAACAGACTGACAAATAGAATCAAATCAGTGGGGAGAGCTCCTAACCATTTTCAATTTGGTGCTGCTTGATTTAAAAAAAAATCTGTCTACCACTACAGCTCATTCTTTCTTTCGCCTATTTAGGTCTGAATTTTCAAAGTTGCCAGGGAGAGGAAATAGTCAAAGGCAGTAAATGCATTTAAATAAATTAATGTAGGGGGAGAAAAAAGAATGCCAGGGAATTCCCTGGCAGTCCAGTGGTTAGGACTAGGCTCTTTCACTGTCAGGGGCCTGGGTTCAATCCAGAATCAGGGAACTCAGATATTGCAAGAGGGGTGACACAGTCAAAAAAAAAAAAAAAAAAGAACTAGTGTGTACATTATACTGGTATTTAGTGTACTGGCAGCTCCCCTAAAACAGGATTCTTTCTGAGTAAACATCTGTAAATGATAATGGCTCTCAGAACACCGTTCTAGACCTCTCCCTTCAGAATTCTGATGTAGACTCAGGGCCTCAGTATAGACTGAGCTTCTCTAGATCATCCCCAGGGTCCACAGCAGCCCCCTGCTGTCAGTCACTCACACTGTCTTTCAGGATCTTCAGAATGCCTACAACATGCGTGTTCTAGATGCTGGGGATTGGTTATAATCTACTGCACAAATATTCACCGAGTATCTGATCGCTGGTGTTCCAGCATGTTCTTCCAGGAACAAGATATGATTTCTGGTACTGCTCACAGTTTCAGGTTACAGAGACATGTAAGCAACATTTTTTCTCAGCAGTGGCTGCCAAGCCTCCCATTAATGGGGGTCAATGATCACAAATGATATCTCTGACCAGGTATCAATAATAAATGTAAAAGAAGAGTGCTGGTTAGAGCCAAACTGGTTTAAACAATGCAAACCAACTAATTCAAACAATACAAAAATAACTCACATGTATGTGCTGTTTTTTGCTCAGTCGCTCAGTCGTGTCTCTTTGCAACCCAATGGACTGTAGCTTGCCAGGCTCCTCTGTCCATGGGAATTCTCCAGGCAAGAATACTGGAGTGGATTGCTATGCTCTCCTCCAGTGTACCTTCCCAACCCAGGGATTGAAACCAGGTGTCCTACATTGCAGGCAGATCCTTTTAACATCTGAGCTGCCAGGGAAGCCCAAGAATACTGGAGTGGGTCATCTATCCTGTCTTCAGGGGAACTTCCCCACCCAGGAATCAAACCAGGGTCTCTTGTGTTGCAGGCAGATTCTTTACCAGCTGAGCTACTAGGGAAGCCCAGATCACATGTATATAGGGCTTTAAAATTTTTCCCAACATGTTCTCACATCTGTCTTTGTGCTTTGTCCTCTACATAAGCCTAAGGAGTAGGTGGAGGAATGTTGATTATCCTTGTATTACACATGAAAAAAATCAAGGTAGTATAACACTGTTGTTGAGTCTGAGTTTGGGAGTCACATACCTGTTCTAATTTACTGGTCTGAGTAAAATGTGGGTAATTCCTTTACTCATAGGGTTTTTGGAAGTGCAAAAGCACATTAGGTATAAAATGTGCTCAGCTAGTTGGGGGAGGCAGTGCTAGATTCTGACTTCCAGTCTAAACTGAAGCTCGTTTCCCTTACAATGTTCTGAAGGCGCTCAGTGGGCATATGACAGGATCCATTATATTCCACCATCTCATTATATGGTAAAGTCCAGTGGGGAGTTTACTGTGTCCTCTATGTTGGATGTGGCCGTCCCAGCTGAGAGGCAAGAGCTGTGAGATACAGTGCCACCTCTCCAGATCCCTTTCCCTCTTAGCTTTAAGCCTTGTGCCTCTTGGATCAAAGAGAATCTGCTACCTACTCTACTGCTCTTGTAGGATATGTGGCTTTCCATTTTGACACCAACCTCTTTTCACATCTTGATGAAATACTTCCCAAGAGAGGACATGCCTGTGGGTTGTCAAATTAATTCTATAGCAAGCTGTTTCTCCAGAACCCCAAGAGAATTTTACCAGTAGGTCTTTGCTAGAGATGACTCTGTAAGGCTCAGACAAGTTTCCCAGCTGTTAGTCACATTGTTTATAATGCTGCCCTTGAGCATATCCTTGACATTTTTTCTTGGTCTTGAGAAAACAAGAATCTAGGGTTGGAGTTAACTTGGTTTATGTAATGATTTCCACCTAATTGTGATTGTTGACAAAGACAGTATTAATTTTGAAAACATATTCTAAGAATCCTGTACTGACAATATTAATACTTATTCAAGGCTTAAGTTCCATATAATTAAAGTCAATTTTCAAAAACTGAGTGACTTCCTAGACTCCATAGAAAGCTAGAAACAGCTTTGTTTTTAATATTAAATCTCTAGGCTATAACTCAGAGAAGGCAATGGCAACCCACTCCAGTACTCTTTCCTGGAGAATCCCATGGACGGAGGAGCCTGGTAGGCTACAGTCCATGGGGTCGCTAAGAGTCGGACATGACTGAGAGACTTCACTTTCACGTATTGGAGAAGGAAATGGCAACAGACTCCAGTATTCTTGCCTGGAGAATCCCAGGGACAGAGGAGCCTGTTGGGCTGCCGTCTATGGGGTTGCACAGAGTCAGACACGACTGACGTGACTTAGCAGCAGGGGCAGGCTATAACTTGTACTTTCAACAGATCAATATGGATATAAGGTGAAACAATTTATAATATAGGGGGACTTCCCTGGTGGTGGACTTCTGTGCTCCCAAAGCAGGGGGTGGGGGACGGGTTCAATCCCTGGTCAGGGAACTAGATCTCACCTGCTGCAACTAAAGATGCTGCATGCCACAACTAAGACTCCTGTGCAGCCAAATAAATATTTTTTTTAAAAAGTATCTAGGAAGACAAATTGGCAAGCAATTGAGAAGGTGCTGATAAGCACCCTTTTAATGGCCTAAAATATTTCAACAAAATGGAGAAAGGGTAATCAAGATGGTAATTTAATTATTCTTGGAGGTTCCTCAGCACTCCTCTCATCTACTCACTTTCTCTTCTGTAGTAAAAGAAACATGACATTCGCTACCATTTCCATATTATTTTCCTAAAGCTACCAAAACAAATTACTACAAACTTGAATGGTTTAAAACAACATTTATTCTCTCACAGTTCTGGAGGTTAGAAGTCTGAAATCAAGGCATGAAACCTGTAGGCAAGAATCCTCTCTTGCCTCTTGCAGCTTCTGATGTTTACCAGTCATCCTTGCTTTGCAGACGCATCACTCCAATCTCTGCCTCCCTCATTTAAGGTTATCTTCTCTGCCTCTTTTCTTCTTAGAAATGCATCAGTCATATTGGACTAAGGATCCATTTTACAAAGGGCTTCCCCGATGGCTCAGTGGATAAAGGATCCTCTTGCAATGCAGGAGACACAGGAAATGTGGGTTCAATCCCTGGGTGGTAAGGTCCCCCAGAGAAGGAAATGGCAATCCACTCCAGTATTCCTGCCTGAAAAATTCCATGGACAGAGGAGCCTTGCGGATACAACTAAGCACACACACTACTCCAGTACACTCTTCTGCAAATCTCCTATGTCCAAGGGAACATTCTGAGATACTGGGGGTCAGGACTTCACTTATCTTTTTGGGGCCAAAATAAAACCCACAACTTCTTAAAACTAACCTCATAAAGCTTGTTTTTTTCCTACTGCAACTTAAGAAAATAATTTAAATGACTATCTCACAGATACTAAATCTGGGGGGAAAAAAAAAGGTCTGATTCTGACCAAAAAAACTTGACAGCATTGGACATATGATTTTGCCTGCATCTTCTTTATGGAAGTTCTTTTATGTTATTGCTAAAGGAACTGTCATTTGGCCAAGTTTCTCTTAGGTATCTAGTATCAAAAATGATTCTTGTTCAGTTCAGCTTCTCTCTTAAACTGAGGTGTAAACCGAGGCCATTGACTGTGGCCTTCTCTTTAGAATGTGACTTGGGGAAGAGATGGTCTGTATGCAAAGGCAATAAAGCAGATATACAGAGAGCAGAGCCAAGACCAAAAGTCTTGATGACATTTGAGTTCCAGGCCTCAATTATTTCTGGGCACAGGCGTGTCCCTGTTAAAGGGGTCTTAAGAGTCATTCTGTAGCCTCCTTTTTAGTTTAATATAATTTGAGTTAGGTTTCAATATTTAGAAACCATCTTCTACCAGTGCCCCTATGTGGCACAATTCTAGGTGTTACTCAGAATCCGCACCTCTACCGTCCAACACTGCAGCCACCAGCCCCGTGTGGCTATTTAAAAGAATTAAAATGAAATAACACTCAATAGTCACATGGAAGTAGGGGCTGCTGCCCTGGTTAGCACAGACAGAACACTTCCATTGCTGCAGAAGATTCTTTTGGACAGCCCCAGTCTTCATGATGGCTCTCCGTGTGGTTACACTGGCACAATCAAGATCAAGGTCCACACAGGGCAGCAAGATTTTCAAGGCCCGATGTACAGTAGATCCTGCTTATTAAAGCTGTATTTTATTTCCAACTAAGGCTATCAGCTTCCAGAATTTAAAGTGTCTTATTAGAGTTTTCTGTTTCCTTTAGGGATGTGAATTTTAAGTGTTTCTTTTAAAGCTCTTTGAATTGGGAGCTGGGACCTGACTTCTTGGTCCAAAACCATGTGACAATAATAGTTTCCTACTGCTGCTGTTAACAAGCTTAGTGGTTTAAAACAACAAAAATTTATTATCTTATATTTCTGTAGGTGAGAAATCCAACATGGGTCTCACTGGGCTAAAATTAAGGTGTCAGCAAGGCCGAGTTCCTTTCTGGAGGCTCCAGGGGATAAGTTCTTTGCCTTCTCCATTCCATGGCTCTCTTCCCTTTTCAAAGCTAACCAGAGCAGACTGAATCCTTCTCCAATCACATTACTCTGACACTCTGGTGCTTCCCTCTTCCACTTATAAGGACCCTTGTGATTACACTGGGCCCAGCCAGATAATCCAGGATAATCTATCTGTATGTCTGATTAGCAAATTTAATTCCATATGCCACTTTAATTCACCTTTGCCATATAACCTAACATATATACAAACTTCAGGGAATAGGACATGGTCACCTTTTAGGATCCATTATTCTACTTTCCATTGATGCTGGGCAAATAACTTTTTATCTCTGGTTTTTGCACATGTAAAATTATGAAACTGGTCTATATGACCCCTAAGGTCCTTTCCACTTCTACCAGTTAAGACTCTGAACTGACAAATGCTAATAGGTACTATTATGTTTGGTCTTTCACTGAACTTGGATTAAATACTTATTCTGAAATAATTTAACTGTGAATTTATGTTTGGAAGTGACTTCCAAAGACATCGGGCCATCAATCTCCCAGAATAAGTGCTGGCCAGAGCCCCAAACACACACAAAGCCAATGAAACTTTCTATTTAACATCAGAATGGAGCTATAAATGATAATTTAAATGTATAGTGCATTTAAATGTTTAAGTTAATGAAATGGCATATAAAGAAGTTTTAACTGATTCATAAGAAAGGGTTCTGATGAGGGATAAATGAGGTATTTGTTAATTTGTGTCTATTAACTTCCACCAACCCTTTCTTTCTCACCTTTTTTTGAATTAGTCTGCTATTCACTGGATGAAATTCATGTTAGCAAAAAGAGGCCACAAACGGTGTGGCCATATAGGTGTAAAAACTGTTACCCAAATGAAAACCATCCAAACTCAAGGAAATAAGAGTCAGAAGAAACTCTTTTGAGAGGATTCACCTTCATTTTCTCCTCTAGAAGAAAACAGTATTTGGGTTCTTTTGTATTTTAGACAATAGAATAGGAGTTAGCTCTACCACCCTGACTGATCACTAAAGAATAAATGTTTTGATTAGAAATTAAAAGTTGATATGAGTAAATCCTCCAGCAGTGATTTTTAAAAAATCTATATCCTTAAAAAGTTTTCTTACCAATGTGTCCTTAATTATCATTGACCCTATAATCAGATGGTACTTTCCACATTAAAATACATTTAATAATTTTCCTTAGAATTGATATTCTATACATTGTCACAATATACATAATCTGAAGAATACAGAAGTATTTTTTAATTTAAACATGTAAAACACAAATGCTGACTTGACATATATTCACACGTAATTCCTTCTCTCACGTTTTCAACTCAACAGATTTCGTGAATCCAGAGGAACTGCTGTAATCACTATATGGAACATACCTAAAATGAAAAAAAGAAAAGAAAGCTATAGCATTAACTAGCAGAAAAAATATTAAAATTAGCCATTTTGAATAATTTATCTTATAGCAGCAGGGGAAGTCTAAAAACCAAATCCACAAAGAATATCAACTCCTCATTTTTATCTTTTAGCAAAAAACATTTTTTTTCATCCCAACTACAGAAGTAGCAAAAGCATCTGACTTCAATTTAAATACCTATTTCATATTTATCTTGACTGGTTGACTGAAGCAGTGAAATGGGCAAGGTGATAAGTACATTAGTGATTACTATTTTATTATCCGGCAGATCTAAGTTATCTAGTTTAATCAACCTAATCCATGAAAGCTGAGATTTAGAAGTGATTTTTCCTTTTACAAAAGGATCAATACAGAATTTCTTTAAAGGATTTTCAGAAATATAGCACCCATATACGTAGCTAGGTTTTATTATGAATTGTCCAACTAGGTATTAGCTGTAGCGACAATCATAACGAAATCAGTATGCAGTTAAAAAAAATTTTTAAACAACTGAATGCCCTGTTTTACTTGAATTTTACACTCAAGTGTGGTATATGACAAAGATATATTAAGAAATACATACACAAGCAATGATAACTTGTCCTAAGTGCTAGAAAGGCACTGTGTACAGCACTATTAGATTTAAGAAAATATGATTTTGGTTTCACTCTTAAGCACAACTTCCTTTGAGGGCAGTCAAAACATAGTGGTTAAAAATGACTACGGTATTTGAACCAGGTATTTGAGATATTTGAACCAGGTATTAAAAATTCATACATTTTTCAAAGACAGGAATATAGGTGCTGAAAAGTATAAACCTGATAAAATAACAAGCAAAACACATTATTTAAAGAGGTTAAATTAACTTGATGCAAGTTAATTTGTTCATCCTGTATTTGTTAATCTGTTCATCCTATAAAACTGTATACTTACTATTTTAGTATTTCAAAAGTTTATTCCAACCCATTTCTTCTTTTATACTCTAAAACATCTTCATTATGTTGTTTGATGAGCTAGAAGTAGGTAACAGTTAAAATCAGAAATGTAATTTTCCTGGCAACTTAAAAGAAGGAAACCAACAGTTGATATTTATATTTCACAAGAGAAATGAGAACAGATTAAAAAAATTACAACTATTCTAGTTAGAAATAAAATGTTAAGGGATAAAAAAGTCCAAAAAACAATGAATGATACATACTTGTTCACCACAATCTGACATACTAATTTGAGAAGGCAACCCTCCGAAGTTTAAAACCAACTTCTGCAAATAAATTATTCAGTGGGTAATTAATGGACTGGAATGCCTTACCATAGAGGGGCCAAATCAACATGACAAAGCAGAACTCGGTTATTAAATGAGTTTGGAGAAAGTGTATTACACTCCTAACCTTAGAAGTTTCATACTGTGAGTGAATGACCAACCTGCACTCCCCAATTATACACGTGTTAATTAGATGTCATGGAGGGCAGCCGCTTTCTTAGAACTGTCTGAGGGATTATGCAACTGGAACAATGCCTTAACACCGGGTGACACTTGTTGCAAAGATTCATTATCAATCAGAGCTCTCAGCAACATGCTTCATTTTTAGGAAAACTTTAAAAACATACAAAATTACATTATCTCAAACATTGTTTAAAAAGGATTGTTGTTGGTGTTCAGTCACTAAGTCCTGTCTGACCCCATGGTCTGTAGCCCAGCCAGGCTCCTCTGTTCATGGCATTTTCTAGGCAAGAAAACAGGAATGGGTTGCCATTTCCTTCTCCATTAAAAAAGGATTAGCTACCATTATTAAGTTGTAAGTGACTTTCAGTATCTTTTACTCCTTTCTGTGTCAAAGAGCTGAACCACTTTAATGAAAAAAATCCCAAATAACAGGTGTAGGAGTTGAAGGTGGGCAGCAATGGAGGAAATTTCAAAACCATTAGCCACAAAACAAAAAATTTAAGTGCTAACAGAGCATCAATCCTGTAAGTCAACTTTTAAAAAACGTATCTACAGAGAGACACTATTTCAGAGTGGTCTACACTGTAGCTCTGCACTTAGGGAGAAATGGGTTCAGCAAATTAATATCTCCAAGTGTTTTCTTTATCCATAAATTATAATAGTACTACCACATAGTGTTGTATTTAGAAAAGATTAAGGAAGTTTTCATAGGTAGAACATTTGGCATACAGTAAACAAAAAGGTATAATTTCCAACAATGTATTTACACTGTTAAAGTCTTATGTCTAATAAATTTAATGGGATTTAATTTGTATTAGTTGTTCAGTTGCTATGTCTGACTCTTTGTGACCCCATGGACTGCAGCATGCCAGGCTCCCCTATCCTTCACTATCTTCCAGAGTTTGCTCAAATTCAAATCCACTAAGTTGGTGATGCCATACAATCATCTCATCCTCTGTTGCCCCCTTCTTTTTCACTAACGATCTGTCCCTATGGCATCTGAAAAAAAGTGCCTTCATAAAACCTCAACCTGTCTCCACCTTCATTAAGAAATAAAGGATAAATAATATGTAGTAAAACTGCCATGCACAAAACCATGCAAAAGAGCAATGATATGTTTCATCCTGGTTACACTTTTTTGTTTTATATTTGATTAACAATGATGTGTTACAGGGTACAGCAAAGTGATTCAGTTATACTCATACACGTATTTATTCTTTTTCAAATTCTTTTCCTATTTAGGCTATTATAGAATACTGAGCCGAGTTCTCCGTGCTATACAGTAGGTTCTTGATGGTTACCTATTTTAAATATAGTAGTGTGTACATGCCTGAAATCTTAACATTTTTTAGTCCTTAGGACTTCCCTCATGGAGAAACAGGTATTTAGCAAGCTATATAAATATCCTATCGTACAGGAGAGTTGCTCCGTAACATTCACTCTCACGCTGGTATTTGTCCTCTCCAATGTTGGAGTAGCACGACTGAAGGGAGTAAGTACTTACATAGATCCACAAAAAAACGGATGTGCCCAAGGTCAATCCAACTTTCGGCCAGTTAGGGCTGCCATGCGGCGGTTCCCGAACGTAGAACTTTGACCGCGATGAAGCTGAAAGGGGACAGAAAGGGTCTCCAAATCTGTAATTTACCGCTTTGTAGGAATAAACCTGACACTTAAATGCATGTAATCGCATTTCATCCCCCCTTCTACTTCCTCATTGAACAGCCACGGAGAGTTCAGAGAGGTCGAGTAACTCTCCCTGGGCCTCCGTCGTCCAGGACGCCTTCACACCCTCTGCATGGGCTTTTGCGAACCCTCAGACGACTCGGAAGCGCCTACGGAAGGGTTCCCCTTTCCCCCGCCTGCAGGAGGACGGACTCTGAAGTCCACTCGCACAGACCCAGAGAGTTCGGTGGCACTGGGAGGAGGGTGGGCGGCGGGTGATGAGGGGCCAAGAGTCGCGGATGGAGGCAGGCGTGGGCTCCGGGACGAGGGTCGGCGAAGGTCACTGCAGGACAAGCCCGGGCGCAGTCCCCTCCTGCCCTCGCAGGGCTGGGCTCACCCTGGGAGCGGCAGGCTGGAAGCTCGGGCCGGCCTGCTCGAGGAAGGACACTTACAGACACTCGGGAACCTAGCCGGGGACAGCAGCTTCCAGAATGGGCGCAGCAACGCGGACGGCGCCATCTTGCCTGGCTTCCTGGGCTCCGCCTCCTCCAGCCGCGCAGCTCCCGGGGCCGACGTCGGGCCGAGCGCCCCCTGGCGGGTGGAGGCGCGGAACTGCGCGGCTCGGCGGCCACGCTGCATGGGCGCCTGCCTAACCCTGAGAATTGCAGTTAAGGCCAGGTACCCTTAGACCCTTGTCCTCAGTTCTGTCTGTAAAGTAGGGTTAGGACGGAGATGATTGCAAGACGGGAAGGGGTACGGGAGAAGGTAGTTTAGCCACTTCTCTGTCCTCTGAAAGTTTATTTCAGATCCCCACCCTAGGGATTTACCAAAACCTTCCTAAGTGAACCAGAAAACTGAAAATGAAGGTATGTTGAATAGTATCAGTTTGATTGATTTTGGTGTTCCAGGAACTGTGCATTAATCCATCATATGATTTATATGCATCCATCATATGCATGGTCTCATTTTACCTTCACAACAGTCACATAACATGCCATGGTTATTCTCAATTTATAGATGAAGCTCAAAGAAGACAAGCTATTCATCCAAGGTGACCTATTATTATACCTTACATTTGAGAGGACCTCATACAGTTCCCAGAGTTTGTTTATACGCAGCAGCATAGTAAATCCTCACAACCCTGTGAGGAAAAGAGAATCTTAATATTTTAGAAGTGCCTTGACCAGTTCAAGATCACACATTTGGGGAAACAGGGACTCTTGGACTGAGGTTTTTAGACTCTAGATCTATCCTCCTTACCCCATCCAACAGGTTTAAACAGTTCCCTGAGGCCAAGAGCTGCAGAGCAGGCTCAAAGTACCAAGTTCAAAGAGCCATTCTAAATGATGCTGAAGCAAATTAACCTCTGTGCCTCAGTTTTATATCTGTAACAGAACACCTACGCTATAGGTCCCTGGGAAGCTTAGAGCATATCTGATGGTTGTAAACAACTTGCTTTTGCTGATCTTTTTGATACCCAGTATACTGACCAATAGCTTTTATCTTTTACATTTGAACCAAAATTTTTAATGCATTTAGCTCTCAATTCAAACTGATGTTTGAAGACCGTGTAAAAATATGTACAAGTAAAAGAAATAATTTAGAAAAGGCAGAGGAACCAGAGATTAAATTGCCAACATCTGTTGGATCATACAAAAACCAAGAGTTCCAGAAAAACATCCACTGTTGTTTTATTGACTATGCCAAAGCCTTTGACTGTGTAGATCACAACAAACTGTGGAAAATTTAACTTATATGCAGAGTACATATGCAGAGAAATGCTGGGCTGAATGAAGCACAAGCAGGAATCAAGATTGCCTGGAGAAATATCAATAACCTCAGATATGCAGATAACACCACCCTTATGGCAGAAAGTGAAGAACTAAAGAGCCTCTTGATGAAAGTGAAAGAGGAGAGTGAAAAAGCTGGCTTAAAACTCAACATTCAAAAAACTAAGATCAGGGCATCCGGTCCCGTCACTTCATAGCAAGTAGATGGGGAAACAATGGAAAAAGTGACAGACTGTTTTTTTCTTGGGCTCCAGAATCACTGCAGATGGTGACTGCAGCCATGAAATTAAAAGATACTTGCTCTTTGGAAGAAAAGTTATGACAAACCTAGACAGTATGTTTAAAAGCAGAGACATTACTTTGCCAACAAAGGTCCGTCTAGTCAAAGTATGGTTTTTCCAGTGGTCATGAATGATTGTGAGAGTTGGACTATAAAGAGGGTTGAGCGCTGAAGAACTGATGTTTTTAAACTGTGGTGTTGGAGAAGACTTGAGAGTCCCTTAGACTGAAAGGAGATCCAACCAGTCAATCCTAAAGGAAATCAGTCCTGAATATTTATTGGAGGGACTGATGCTGAAGCTGAAGATTGAAGGCAGGAGGAGAAGGGGACGACAGATGAGAAGGTTGGATGGCATCACTGTCTTAATGGACATGAGTTTGAGCAAGCTCTGGGAGTTGGTGATGGACAGGGAAGCCTGGCATTCTGTGGTCCATGGGTTGCAAAGAGTTGGACATGACTGAGTGACTGAACTAACAAGAAATAATAAATTTTAATACTTTAATCTTTTAAACATAATGTCATGTAGGTTCATGTTAAAAGCAAAATGCTGCTGCTGCTGTGTCACTTCAGTCGTGTCCGACTCTGTGCGACCCCATAGATGGCAGCCCACCAGGCTCCCCCATCCCTGGGATTCTCCAGGCAAGAACACTGGAGTGGGTTGCCATTTCCTTCTCCAATGCATGAAAGTGAAAAGTGAAAGGGAAGTAGCTCAGTCCTGTCGGACTCCCATTGACCCCATGGACTGCAGCCTAACAGGCTCCTCCATCCATGGGATTTTCCAGGCAAGAGTGCTGGAGTGGAGTGCCATTGCCTTCTCTGTAAAAGCAAAATAAATGTTAGCAAATTTCTTTTTCCTTCTGTATATATGTATTTAGCAATGTTATTGAAAAAATTTTTAACAAAAAATTATTGACCAAAGAGTAAAATAGTTGTTTGATGTTTTCTGGTTCCTTTTTACATTCAACTGGTGGCTACATAGATTGCTACACTGTAGGTCACTTTATAGTTTGTAACCTAGTTTGAGCCTCCTGGGCTCATGCTCAAGTAAGCAAACCAACCGACTAACATGCTGAGTCAGTTGTTGGTTCTCAAATTCTTGGCTTCTTGTCCAGTCAGCAACCTGTCAGCTGTATATCCTTTCTACACCATCCCTTGGAAGCTTGTCCTGACACAGCTTTTGCTAGATTCCAACAAGTTGGAACAGAAGCCACATGTAGTCAGAGAGGAAAGAGCCATGACTGAGTGACTTAGCACACACACACACAGACCATTAGGCAGATTACTAAGTTTCACTCCTGCTTTTGGAAAAAGGCTGTTTTCTTCTTTTTCCCCTGTATCCTTTTACTAGTGTATATTTTGGGAAAGTGATGAAGTATAATCACATTTCTCTCAGTATGTTAGAGCCGATGGAACCCTACACTTGGAGTAGGTGGCTGTAGGTGAAACTCCATCTTGAAAAGAATCCTGATGAAGCAATTCTATCCAGGAGCTAATAGCTATATTTTGGTAGAAGCTCACACATGACATTCATTTAAGCAGCTCCAGACTTTGAATGCTAACACCTTATTTATGACCCAGGCAAAGGGGAAGGATTAGAGTTAGAAGCTTAAACAAAAAAATCATGATTTTGTTTTTACATATATATGTATCTATAGTTTATCAAATTCTTTTCCCATTTGGGTTGTTACAGAATATTTAGCAGAGTTTTCTGTGCTATAAAGTAGGCCCTTGTTGGTTATCTATTTTAAATATAGTAATGTGTACATGTCAATCCCAGACTGTCAGTTGATCCCTTCCCCTCTCACTTCCCCCTTGTAATCATAATTTTGTTCTCTAAGTCTGTGAGTCTGTTTTGTAAATAAATTCATTAGTATCATTTTTTTTTCTTTTTAGATTCAGTATATAAGCAATATCATATATTTGTCTTTCTCTGTCTGACTTATTTCACTTAGTATGATAATCTCCAGGTCTATCTGTGTTGCTGGAAAACCAAATTTTAAGTCCCAGATACTTTTACTCAACTCACATATCCTAGGGAGGCTTAAAGTAAGGCAAGGACTGAACACAGTACAGAAAAATAAAAGTACTTCCTACATGTTTACTGACAAGTACGACAAGGCTGTATATATATTGTCACTCTGTTTATTTAACTTTGCAGAGTACATCATGAGAAATGCTGGGCTGGATGAAGCTCAAGTTGGAATCAAGATTGCAGGGAGAAATATTTATAACCTCAGATATCAAGATGATACCATCCTTATAGCAGAAAGTAAAGAGGAACTAAAGAGCCTCTTGATGAAGGTGAAAGAGGAGAGTGAAAAAGCTGGCTTAAAACTCAACATTCAAAAAACTAAGATCATGGCATCTGGTCCCACCACTTCATGGCAAATAGATGGGGAGACAATGGAAACAGTGACAGACTTTATTTTTGGGGGCTCCAAAATCACTGCAGATGGGGACTGCAGCCATGAAATTAAAAGACGCCTGCTCCTTGGAAGAAAAGTTATGACCAATCTAGACAGCATATTAAAAAGCAGAGACATTACTTGGCTAATGAAGGTTCGTCTAGTCAAAGCTATGGTTTTTCCAGTAGTCATGTATGGATGTGAGAGTTGGATTACAATGAAAGCTGAGCACTAAAGAATTGATGCTTTTGAACTGTGGTGTTGGAGAAGACTCTTGATAGTCCCTTGGACAGCAAGGAGATCCAACCAGTCCATCCTTAAGGAAATCAGTCCTGAATATTTATTGGAGGGACTGATGCTGAAGCTTCAATCCTTTAGCCACCTGATGCGAAGAACTGACTCATTGGAAAAGACCCTGATGCTGGGAAAGATTGAAGGTGGGAGAAAGGGATGACAAAGGATGAGATGGTTGGATGGCATTACCAACTCAGCGGACATGCATTTGAGTAAACTCCAGGAGTTGGTGATGGACAGGGAGGCCTAGGGTGCTGCAGTCCATGGGGTCGCAAAGAGTCGGACACGACTGAACTGAACTGGATAGCAAGGAGATCAAACCAGTCAATCCTAAAGGAAATCAACCATGAGCAGTTGTCACTGATCCTGAAGCTGAAGCTCCAATACTTTGGCCACCTGATGCGAAAGAGAAGACTCATCCTGGGAAAGATTGAAGGCAGAAGGAGGAAGGGGTGGCAGAGGATGAGATGGTTAGATAGCATCACTGACTCAATGGACATAAATTTGACCAAACTCTGGGAGACAGTGAAGAACAGGGAACACTGGCGTGCTGTAGTCCATGGGGATGTGAAGAGCCAGACGTGACCAAACAACAACATGTTTATTGATTTATGAAGCATGAGAGTACTCTATATCAAATTCAGAATCTAGAGAGGGATGGAAGGAGTATCTGAAAGCTCTTATTTAAAAGAAAGAAGCAAATGAAAAAAAAAACATAAGAGAAAGAAGCAATCACAGAATGTTAATATTTTGTAAACGTTAAGTGGCAAATACATAGATTTCTTTTGTTTCCTTCTATAAAATTTAAATATGTAAAGATATAAAAGTGTCAATAGAGAACACGTTACATATCTGAAGACAGGAATTTTACTCCACATCTCCCTTTTGTAGAATTGAAGTTTGCAAAGTTATATATTTACGGTTGTTGTTGTTTAGTCACTAAGTCATGACTTAGTGTTTAGTTTGTGTTTAGTGTTAATGACTTAGTTGTTTAGCCACTCTTTTGCAACCCCATGGACAGGAGCCCAACAGACTCCTCTCTTCATGGGATTTCCCAGGCAAAAATACTGGAGTGGGTTGCCATTTCCTTTTCCTGGGGATCTTCCCCACCCAAGATCAAACCTGCGGCTTTTGCATTGCAGGCAGATTCTTTACCACTAAGCCATCTGGTTATGGTTGATTTATCACAAAAGTGACATGCAAATACATGGGGTAAGATGAATGAACTAACCATTATCATCATCACCACCTCACATCTAGCCTTGGATATGTTAACTCCCTACATAGCTGTCATTCAGAGTATAACCTGTTAAATGGGATTTTTATTTGTCAAATAGTGGTGATCTATCAGAGTAGACATTTTATTGAGTTCAGGCTATAAATCACGGACTGTGTGGTCCAACTATTAGTAGGTGCATTTGAACTAGGATGTAACTCACATAAATGTTGAATCAGACTAGTATTCAGTGAGTCTTAAATATTGTTATTTGTCATCAGCCAAAAGGAACATATTTGCCAAACTATATTGCTGGCTCATCTGTTCAGTTAGTCAGCTTCTGGTGTTTCAAAGATCAGAAACTTTCTTCCCTCATGGTGAAAACAGATTATTTACAGGAGAAATTTAGAAGAATATAGCAAATAACATTGCTAAAAGTACTCTGAAAAATATAGCAAATAACATTGCTAAAAGTACTTTTGGATATGAAGCTAGAGATTTGGAAACCTGAGTGAGAAGCTAAGCTAAAATTATCACCTTAAGTTACACAATTTTTCTACTTTTTAATAGTTCAGATAGTTGAAAAACCTGTTGGGGGGGGTGTGAAGTTCGAAGGTTATTACTAAATAACAACTGTTTTTTATGAATTCTAAATTAGTTCTTAGTTTTTTTATTTTAAAACTAAAGTTAAAAAACTGGTCATATTTCAAAACTTAAATACTGTTTCTTATACCCAGAATTTTCTTAATGAAACTTTTAAAGAGATCACAGAATTTCAAGAAATTCTGCGATTTGACTGCAACGATCTTATTGGTGACCCATGCAAAAGGAGAGGGCATTCAAGATAACAGCCAGAAAACCCAAGTATTAGTCTCAGATTTTTCCACAGGAAAACATCTTACTGAACTCACAGCTTCCATGGCGCATTAAAGAGCAAGCCAAAACCAGCAAAATATCTGTGTAACTATGATTAAAAGATCAAAGCTACTGGGAGTCTTATTTAACGACTCGATGTAAAGAATGCTACTACTGATGGAATTCAGGATCTGGAGAGAGATAATCAAAAACAATCAAAGATAAAAATTGTTCACATGATGTGAAAATTTGTGGTCATTGATAGAATGCCACTTTTAAAATAGTTTCACTGTCGATTTTTAGTGAAATGACTTCAAAGAGGCTCTATTCGGTATCCAGTCTGACCTTGCTTACTGCAGCAGTTCTCTAGTATCCTTGCCGGATACTCTTGGGCTTCCCAAGATTTAAGGATTTCTAGTGACGGGCAGTCAGAGTATTAAGCACTTGGTTGAAGCCAGCTGCAAGGGAGTCAGTGACCTTGAATTCTTCACTACCCCAAGGTGACTCAACACTGCATTGCATGAACTCGCTGATAAAATAAAAACACACACTTTAACCTTCAGACGTTTCTCTGGCAGTGCAAGCCTGACTACCTTTCCAGGGTCCTCTTAAAGTAACAAAGTAAATCCTGGATACCCCAGCCAGCCCATTTAATTGGTTAACTCTTTCACGCTTTTCAGACTCCATTAAGCTCCATCCTCTCTGTATCAGTTTACAAGTCTTCTCCGCCTCTGCTGCTCAACCAGGCACTTTGTCCACGATCAAACACAGCGCTTCTTGAACACCCGCATTTCAGCACTTCAGGCTCAAACTCTGATCAGAGAGACTGGGAGAGCCTACCCAATGAATGAAAGGCCAATCTAGCAATTAGCAGTGGAGACGCGATGCCGAGGCGGTCGGAACCGCAGCCGGTCACTCTCCCCACGCTTCCCCAGCGCCTCCAAGAGCAGAAACCGAAAAGATGGGCGGGGCCTGGCGAGACCCTTGAGGCCTCCGCGGGCCTGACGGCCCCCAGGTTTCCCAGCAAGCTCCAGGACAGAGGAGGTGGGGAAAGGAGGTCATCGCGCCTGCGCGCTAGTAGGTGTGACCCGGGTGGGAAAGCCCTCGGCGTCCGCCATTTTGGCTGCCTCTGTCGGTCTGTTCAGTTACCACGTGAACCGCCGACGGAGACCCGTGGGGGGGGGGGGAGGCGGCAGCAGTGTTAAGTGAGAAAGGAAAAAAAAAGACTACAAGGGGAAGGGGGTGTCGGGGTTGGACGACGCGGTGACACCTGAGGCCTGGTGGCAGCGGTGGATCCGGGCAATCAAGGCTGAAGCAGCCAGGACGACGGCGGCGGCGGCGGTCGGACAAACAGGCTGACCGAGCCGGGCGGTGGCGGGAGCAGCGGGAGGAGCCGGAACGATGCCGGCCGTGAGCCTCCCGCCCAAGGAGAACGCGCTCTTCAAGCGGATCCTGGTAAGTGTGAGGCTCCGGGCAGGCAGTGAGGAGGATTCAGCCGGTACACGGGCCTGTCACCCCTAACCTCGGCCCACCGGGCACCGGGCCACCCCCGCCCGGGACCCCGGCTTCGTACTCCTAGTCAGGCCGAATGCACTCCTTCGCCCCTTCCTTGGGGTTCCCTTTTCGGCTCGCGCGCCCGGGACCTCAGGTTTCCTCCTCCCGGTCCCCACGCTCCGAAGGCCGTGGTTCCGGAGTAGGCCCCTTGCTTCCAGCTTCTAGACGACCGGTTCTTATTCGTCCCGAGCGAAGGGAGGAGAGGCCTGCCTTTAGCAGAGAACCGGGCGACAGGGGCAGGAGCGGCGGCCCGGCTGGTGTGGGAACGCTGCCGGCAGGCCAGGGTGGCACCCTTGGAAGGAACAGGTGGTGCGGATGCCGCACCGCTCATTCATTGCCCAAGCGCGGCTCTCCCTCCATGGTCAGTCCCTCCCTCTTCCTCTCCTCTTGGGATTCACCTGTCCCCGCCCGACTCGGGGTCCCTGATTGACCTGGGAGGAGGGAAGGAAGAAAGGCGTTCAGAAGGGGATAGGAAGCTTTCTAAACGACTGCCCTTGTAGTCAGTAGGGATGCTTGCGTCTCCAGCTTCTCGGCCTCTCTCGTTCCCTCCTTTCTGGAGTAGGGAAGAGACATTTATTTCTTAGTTTCCGAGCGGGAAACAGCCCCACCCCAACACCCTCCTTGGAGGTGGGGCCCATTGCGAGGGGGCGGTCCGGTAGGAAGTGAAAAGTTGAGAGTTTTTAGTTGAAAAGTTCTAGACAAGGGTTTCTTGCAGACTGAAGTGTGTTAACACGGATGCAAGAAATTAGAGAAAAGAGAATATAAGAACTTTTGAAATGGATCTTTTTGACGGTAGCTCAGGCTCGATAATTTTCTGCATTTCAGATAGGTGCAGTTTGCATTGTTTTTTTGATACATTAATAAGATGATGTTTGGAGGGACTGTTTACGTTGTAGAATGTCTTGTAGCTTAGGTGCTATAATTAACACTCTAGCACGGTTTTGTTGAGTGGGTTGCCGCTTTCATGCATACATTTCTTTGAAAGAATTAACTACGTTTACCAAACTGCCACACTGCAGCCTGTCGAGCTGAAATCGACGGGGTCGCCAAGAGTCGGACACGACTGAGAGACTGAGCAGCTACAGAACTTAAAGACTTAAAATGTGGAGTGTGTGTTCCGGAAGTGTTAGTGTTTTCCTTTTGCAATTTAAATGTATTTCGTTTGTTTGAAAAGTATAACAACTCCAAGGACCCGGGTTTTCTAGACACATGTTGAACTAACTTTGATTTTACAAAAACATCCATATGCCTATAGGTTTAGTTATTAAGTATGGAAACACATGTAAGAAAGTCACGCCCCATACGGTGTAACTTAGTTACCTTGAAATCCTTATTGCCAATTTTTTGGTTTTTAGACTTAATGGAGTGTAGGACTGTATCACTATTTCACCAGAAGTTTATTTTTGTGTCTTTTAAAGGAGTAATTGGTGTGTAGGTTCGACTGTAACATAGTTTTAGGATAGTAGTTTGTCGTTATTCTTTCTCCCCAACTCTCCTTTGAAAAAATTCAAGTTGAAAAGTTGAGATGAGCACACGGAGCCCTTGTAAATTCTGTAAACATTTAACATTTTGCCAGATTTGCTTTTTCTCTGTCCTTACACATATACGAGAGTTAAAAGGAAATTGCTGGCCTGATCTTCATCCCTACATGCTTCAGCAAGCATCCTCTTAGAGTAAGGATATCATTTTGTATAACCATAATAACATTAATAATTACTCCTTAATATTGTCTAATATCCAGTTTATTAAATTTTCCTAATTGTTAGGGAAGCACTTAAAAAAAAACATTTTGAGGTTGACTGTAGAGTTGCACATAATTTAAAAAAATAATACAGAGAGATTACCTTGTACCCTTTATCCAGTTTCCCCACTGCTAATGCTTTGCAAAGCCATAGTTCAGTATCATAACGTTGATACAATCTGCCAGTCTTATTCAGATTTCTCCATTTTACTTTGTACTAATTTGTGTGTATATTTAGTTCTTTGCAGTGTTGCCACACGTGTAGATTACATAACCATCACTACAGTCAACCTACAGAACAGTTCCATGAGCACAAGGATCCCTCTGTTGCCCTTTTAGAACTGCACCCTCCCCTGTTCCTCCCATCTCTAACCTGAGACTCTGCCAACCACCACTAATCTGTTCTCTGTTTTTATAATTTGGTCATTTGAAGAATGTTTACTGAAAAGAGTCATACTGTACATGACTTTTTAGGATTAGCCTTTTTGTGTGTGTGTGACCAGATTCCCTTGAGACTCATCCAGATTGTTGAGTGTATCAATAGTTTGTTCCTTTTAATGGCTGAGTAGAATTCTACATTGTGGATGTACCTCGGTTTGCTTTACCATTCGTAGCATAACAATTTTTGATTAAACATCTTAAACTTAAAAAAAAAAATATTTGCTGGTGATAGTGGAGGAAGTCCCTTAAATTCATTGCTGAAATCAAGGTGCTAAAGGGCTTCTTGTTTTGAAGTGTATGCAGAGGAAATGTAAAAATCATTAAATGAAAGGGAATATAATATCCTTATTGTTCTCTTACATTAAAAATGAAGAAAATATTATTAAGTATGGTTAGTATTTGCTCTTGCAAAGTTGTTTCTGCTTCTTCAGTACTTGTAGTAGTTACTGCTTTTGATTTCAACCCCTGCCTCCTTCCCCCCAGAAGTTCGCATAATCTATTACCTTGTAATCAAGTGTTGCTAGGTTAGTAACTGCTAAATCCTTCCATTAGCATTCAGTTTTTCAGCTAGTGCTTTGTTACTTGTATCCTGCTTGTTCCTAGTAAAGTTGTGTAAGAATGAAATTAGTTTGTATTTTTAAAAAATTTGAAACACTGATTTCAAAATAATGAAGTGTGTTTTTGCCTTAATTTTTTTTTAAAGTGTTAGCCACCCTCCTTGCCCTTAATTTCATGTGTAAAATTAGCATATTAATGTCCATTCCTTTTAATTCATAGAACAATTGTGAAATCAAATAAATTATGAACATTAAAATATTCTGTAAATTGCATAGTACCAAATCACCATTAGATGTTTATAATTATCCAAACCTACACAGGGATTATATATGAAGAAGTGGTGAAGAAGTGAAGTGAAGTTGCTCAGTCGTGTCCGACTCTTTGCGACCCCGTGGATTGTAGCCTACCAGGCTCCTCCCATCCATGGGATTCTCCAGGCAAGAATACTGGAGTGGGTTGCCATTTCCTTCTCTAGGTTGCCTTAAGTTTCAAAAGAAACCTGGTTTACATGTCGGTGTGTAAAAAAACTTCAGAATTTCTGTAGTGGATTTTCCTGGCTTGTTCTAGTCTAGTTGGTATCTGAAATTCAATTTTGTTGCGTATTTGGCCCATCTTTTCCCCCCATATTACTCTGCTGTGTTCTGAAATGCTAAGGCCTTGCCATGAGTTGGTCAAAATGTCTGCAAATATGTCTTAATTTGTCTATAGAAAGAGCTGGTGATGAATTTAATGTAATATTATGTGGGAGTTTAAAGAAGAGTTATTTGTGTTTGCCGGAGCTGTTTTGTTGTAATTACATACCATTTTAACAGTTTGGAAAACTAAGTTATTAGAAAATGTGTATTTGCCTACTCATGATGCTATTTGTTTATCTAAATAGTTTGAGGGGCATTACCAGATCTTTACATGACTTTCTTGGGATGTAGTTTAAGCATAGGAATAATGAGATTGCCAGGGTAGAGTGAGATCCACACCTTTTTAGATTTTAGCCCACTTGGAAAAGTAGTTGGACATACCCTGATACCTTGCAGTGAAGCTAGTTTGGTGACTGTTAGTGCCTTTGCTTTATTTTCTCTTCTCTTTAGATGTTAGTGTGAACTGTAAGAAAAAAAAATCTTAAGTTGGAAGTACTTAAAATTAGTACAGCATTAATCTATTTTTGGACTATAGCCTGAATGATTTATGTGGTAAGTTAAAAGTCTAATGGATAAAAATTTTCTTTCCTAGAAAAATGGAAAGAGAAGTTAGTATAGCATGGTGATAATATTTGCAATTTATTGGAAACTTACTCTTTGTATTGCACAGTGGAACTTCCTGTGATGATAGAAATGTTCTGTACCTGTTTTGTCCATTATCATAGCCATTGACCATTTATGGCTGTTGTACACTTGAAATATAGCTAGTGTGATTGAGGAACTGAATTATTAATTTTAATTAACTTAAATTCATATAGCCACAGTGGACAGTGCACCTGTAGAATCCTTCTCTAGTCTCAAAGCATCTCAAATTAGGGACATGTTTATTAAGGAACACACTGAGATTAAGGTTAACAGCTAGTGTAAGGAATGAAACTCTTTTCAGGGCACTTATCCACACCCACCTCGTTCTTTATTAAAAAGAGTTTTAATAATTGTTGGTGGCTACATATGTTGTGGGTACCTAAAATATTGTAGGTAAATTACTTCATTTTAGTTATTGCTTTTGGAAAAAGTGCTGTTTCTACAGTTAATGATATGTAGGTTGGATTGAGTTGCACATGGAATTAAAATTAGGAATTGTTAACAAGGAGATTTCCATATGCACATGGGAAGGTCAACTGACTTTAATTTGTGTGACAATAATAGTTTTGCAACTGAGTGTGGATAGTAACCTTGAAATTGATTTTAATATATATTTGCCTGTACTGTATATGTTTAGAATATAATGAAAACAAAAAATTGATACAAAGTTTTAGCTGCTCTGAAGTCCCCTTTCTTCTGTATACAGTAGGTAATCAAACGTTTGAACTAGAATGAATTTGTTTAAAGGTGAATTAGAAAACGAAATGCAGTTTTGCTATAATGTAAATATAGCTATATTCTTAATAAACACTACCTTATAAGGCACAACATTTAAAGTTTTTTTATATATTTTTTAATGCTTTTAATAAAAAGTCTAAAAA